GTGTGGACTGTCTCATTCGAGATGAAGTTGTTAAACTTAACTCGCAGGATTGTCCTCAGACACCTGTGGTCCTCTAACCGATCGGTTAGTGCTCATTCATCGACACAACTATGTCTGAAAATTCAAAATGCGATGCTTTTTCCTCCTTCAAGGTGCAGAGACGGCTATTTCGACTGACAAAGTGCCCAGTAGCTTCGATTTTTTTTCCTCTTCTGCCATTCACGACCACACCGACTCACGATCGATTTTACTTCCCATGACTCTCTAATGAGCGCGTCTCAGTTAAGTTGCGTTTTATATGGTGATTTCGGAAAGGATATGTCCATTGAACATGTTGGCTGTCTATTATGCCGCTCATTTGCTAAAGTCGTCGCTGAAAGCCCTAGTATGTCTACCCAATATTTCGTTCATACATGGCACTAGCACACTTAAGCGTGCAATAATTACTACTCAAATAATGCTAGTAGCGCATAGTTTTTTTTTTTATTTACGTACTAGCCAGTCATTGGTCTCGATAAGGTCTGCATGCGCCTCAAGCGAAGGCCGTTTAGAGTTTTGATTCAAAGTTTTGTTTGATGGAATAATTGGTTGTTATAGACGGCAGGCGAAATTATTATTTTTTATACTGTATCGACGAGATTTTACTGGAGGTTGCCGGAATGTAACTACATGTCATCTAACAAAAAAAGTTGGCATCATCTCACAGGGCTTCTTAGTCTCTTATTTACAATTCGCTAATTTCGTCAGATGACTGTTAATTGTTTAACAAAGTTCTGGAGAACATGTAGTTCTGTTGGTAAAACTCGGGAAGAACTTTTTTCTTCATTTTAAACACGGCCAGTGTTTTAACCGTCAGAACTGTTGGCTGACAACGTGATTAAGGTTAAGCGAGGACGCATTTAAGAAGAAGTCCACAAAGACTGATGGGGTCCATTTAGCAGGCTTGGATTATTTCTGAATTTGCTATTTACTTTACTGGATGGAGGCTCGATTATAACGCAACAGATATTAATAGGGTTGCGCACTCATGGCTACCGCACATGATAGAGGTGTGTGCGGGCACTCCTAGGTGTAGGATCCGGTCACGCCAGCCACCTGCCCCCTCCCCCGCCTCCGCTCTTCTTCACTTGGTCATAATACCGCACCCAGTTGGATGAGGAGCGAGTGTAGTAGATGCCGAAAAAGTCACCGCTTTCATGTTTTTGGGCCTCCGCTGGACATAGTCAGCAACAACGGTCGAACTGCCGGTGTGTACACATCAGTACTTAAAAAGAAAATAAACAGGCAGTACTTATAGTGTACCATTTACTAGCCTCAGTAAACATGGTTGCTAGAATTAGCACTTCTATCATAAACACGCACCTATAGCAGCAGTATCTTAGTCCGTACAGCTCGAGGGATCGAGCTGAGAGTGCGAAAGCCAAGGCAAGCACAGCTTTGCTCAGGCCCCCAAGCATGTACATACCCGAAATAGTTAAACCCAGATTCACCTTCCTTGTTCAGATCAGGGGTATATGAGCCCTAGCGAAGGCTCAGTGTCAAGGCTGACAAATGGTGGCGTCAGTGCTAGCACCAGTACTACACATCTTTTTGAGATTGAGGGGATATGAACCCTGTGCTGACTTTAACCAACGTCAATTCTGATTTACAATACAGATTGAAATAGTACCAGCGAACATATTACTCAGCTGTACCCCAATAGTAACATTAGAAATAGCAGTAGTGGTTGTTAGCAGAACGTGCCCTGACTTCTTAGAATCAGGCTAGACATCTAATATAGGTGAGTGAGGGTAGACAGTGCAGTAGTACCCGCGCAAATTCTACTGTCACTATATACTAAGTTTGGGTGGTGTTTACGGCTGCGGCCTACGCCCTCTCCCTGTGCGGCCATGTCGACTTTGTCTTATCACCGTTTAAATGCAGTTGAGAGGGTTTAGAGTGGGGTAGATGGCGGCGCG